AGCAATAAGGCCAACAAGAAAAAAGTCATAAAATGGTTTTGATTTTGGTATGTTTTGTTTAAATTAAACATTCCCATAAATACTGTTTTTTTTAATTTTTGTTTGATCAACTGAACTTGTTATTAAATGGGGTAGGGTTGTTAACTCAGGACTCAAAACTCTGAATTCAGGGAAAATCCAAAACAACAACCCAGGTTGCAATCTCCTGAGTTGCAGAATTTTGTACCAATTGCAGACACCAACTTTGTTCTACGGGTTGGGATGTTGCAAAACAATCATCACATGAATTTCAACTCTCATCAGCAATCAATGCCCATATGGTAACAACCAACCTGGTCTGAGAGGGAGATAGGGAATGTTTTGTCCAAAGCCTTCCAGCATGTGATGGACTTTACCCATAGGAAAAATCCCATGGTTATAGAGGGTATTTGCATGTTTGTGATAGGAAATTTTAATTAAATCTGACACCTGACATCAACATCATATTTATTATTCATAAAGATCCATAATTGAAATAATTTATTTTGCGAATCCCAGAGATCTGAGTAGACTCACATTATTAAAAGTTTCATTTTTGCATAGCCTTGGTATTATTACTACTTGGTTTGTTATGTTAATGATGATATCAAATGTATTGAATAATAATCATGACTATCATGAATATTTGATGGATGGAGGCATTCACATACAAGAAAATGAAGGAAATGATTAAATAGCTAAGTCATGTTTGTTTTATTAAAGACATATGATTAATTGTATTTAAAATATGTAATAAAAAAATTGCAAGGCTGCACCACTGTGTCAATCAAGCTATCAAGCTGTTATGTTTGTGCATGATTTAAAATTCTTTTGTGCTAATTTAGAGTCCTTTGCTTATATATAATCTATTGGTTCTCTCTTTATTGGTTGAATGATGTCAAATTGGGTAATGGGATATCAGTAAATATCAGAATATGATTATTCTTTAAAGATATTGGCATACCAATAAGTTAATAATATTCTTAGTATTTTTATCATATATTCTAAAAGCCTATTAATAAATGTTGAAAGTGCCGATATTTATCAGATATTCTTCTAAAATTAATACTATTTTTTAATTAATTATTGGCTTAATTAAATGTAATTAAATTATTGGTTAAATATTTCTAAAGCTCTTTGTGCTAAAATAATATCATAATCTGAATAAAACGAATAA